GATCAGATCTGGGTGCAGGAGGAGGGCCAAGGGCTGCTCTACTGAGAGCTCGAGGAGGGCTGGAATCCAGTGCTAGCAAGGCCATGCTGGGGCTATCAGAATCACAGAGGCTTGAAACTTCCTGACCCTGAGAATCACTGTGTGGAGCAGAGAAAAGGGTGGAAAGTATACAGAAGGCCTTAGGGCCAAAAAATCATCAGGGTGTCCCCCAGAGACCCCGGGCAGTGGTTGAATAGGGAGCAAAAGCAGGGGCACTTTTTGTTGCTGTGGGTCACAAACAGATCCAAGTAGAGAAAGAAAGTTACTCGCCTTGTGCAGTAACGATGGTTCTTCGAGATATGTCCTTGTGGGTGCTCCACTCTGGGTGCTGGTGTGTCCTCGTGCCAGCGACCAGAGACTTTTCTAGCCGTTTCTGCCACGCCGCGCAGGCGCCGTGGTGCCCTCTAGTGTCATTGGAATTGTGTAAGTGTAAGTTCGGTGTATGGAGGGTTAGCCATCAAGGCGCAAGCTCACTCACCCTCCTGCTAGAGGTAATGGCGATGAGGAAGGCTACTTTCATAGACAAATGAGACTAGGAGCAAGTGGCTATTGGTTTGAATGACAGTTTCATCAGGCTCTTTAGAACGTGGTTCAAGTCCCAAACGGGGACTGGTGGACAGACAGGAGGAAAGGTATTCTGCAGACCCTTAAAGAAGCGCTTGGTCAGTGGGTCAGCGAGAAAGGAAGCGCCTTGCGTAGAATAGTGAAAAGCCGCTATGGTGGTGGCATGGACCTTGATACTGCTAAGTGCTAGGCCAGACTGTTTCAGGGATAGTAAATAGTCCAGTAAGGTATGTACAGGAGCGAGGTGTGGTGGGCTTGCGTGGGTTTGAGCATACCAGTGGGAAAAACAAGTCCACCCTTACAGGTAGGTTTTCCTAGTGGAACATCTTCTACTATTAATTAGAATGTCTTTCACTTGCTCTGAGCAGGCAGTCTCAGCATCCTGGAGCCACGAAGGAGCCAGGCATGGAGATGGAGCTTGAGAACGTTTGGATGAAGGGTCTGACCGTGGTTCTGCGAGAGGAAGTTGTGGTGGCAAGGAAAGGGATACGGGTCCGTCACCGTCATCTTGAGGAGGTAAGGATACCACGTTTGTCTGGGCCACGCAGGTGCCACTAGAATGACTAGCGCCTGGTCTGTTCTGATCTTGTTGAAGACTTTGTGTAGAAGCGGGAAGGGGGGAAAGGCATACAGGAGGGAGGCATCCCATGTGATGTAAAAGGCATCTTCGAGGGAACTTTTCCACAGGGCTCCTCTGGAGCA